AACTGCCGCTGGGCAAAACTGCCCCTATAATTTCGGCGGTAAATATTTCAGCACCTCAAAATTCTTGCAGGCGATCTTAACCCCGAGAATAAGGAATGGAGGGGCAGAAAGACTAATCCGAACGGTGAGAAACTGTTTGATTTCATATGCAATCATCCTGTTTATTTCTACGCCCCAAGTGAGTATACGTACTTGCTTGACCAACCAAATAAAGATGATATTCTGGATCTTTTTATCTCTAATACTCCCATCCCTATTTATCTGGAGGTCGTACATGATTTAGATTCAGATCATGTTCCGGTAATCGACACGCTAGGCAAAGATAAAGATATCAACGCTGATAAAAAGAAAATTACAAATTGAAAGAGTTTCACTGACTACCTTATCAAGCAGCTCTCAACACTATAAGCATTAAAAACCCCGCAAGACATTGACATCGCTGTCCATCAGCTCTCCACCACTATTCATAATGCTTATAATAAGGCCACTAGCACGATCCCTGCAAATTATCATACTGACAAGCTCCAACCACATATTTAGGAGTTAATCAAGGAAAGAAATAAAATGAGGAAACAGTGGCAAAGATAAATAGGAAATTTACTAAGATAAATAGGAAATTTAGACGACGTAACAAAGAGCACAGAAAGGAAATCTGGAAATCTGATGAGAAAGTCACGGCTTTCAACGAGCCCAGCAACTTTTTCTGGTCGTTTCTCAAAACGCTTAAGAATAAAACCTCTACCTCAAAGCCAATTAAGACTGATAATAAAATTGCCTTTACTAATAAGAAGAAGGCTTCTATGTAAGCTGAACACTTCGTGGACCAATTTAAACCAAATGACAACCCCTGCTACGCAGAACTTGCGTACGACGTGAGATATTGCGTAAAAGACTGGTTATCAGCGCACAGCTCTGAGAACGACTTAAACTTGCGGACCCAAAGAAAATTCAGAATGTCATTAAGCAACTTAAAAATAATAATAATGCCCCCGGTTACGACAACATCACAAACGTCGCGATTAAATTTTTACCGTCTGGCATTATCGATAAATACGCAGGAATGCTGAATGCTTTTCTCACAAATGCCTATTTCCCTACCTCTTGTAAGAGTGCCAAGATGATAGTTCACTCGAAGACTGGTAAAGACACGACAAAGCCAGTTAGCCTCCTCCCTGGACTCGGCAAAATTTTAGAACGCATAGAGCCTTATCTGAAGAAGCTTCCGGTAGAACAATTCGGTTTCCGAAGATCCCTTTCTACCACCAAGCAGTTTGTTAGACTCTCTGAGCATATCGGCAGCTCTTTACATAATCATCAAAATGTCGCCTTACTCATGCTGGACGTGGTGAAAGCCTTTGACCGCGTCTGGAATGAGGGGCTTATCTTCTTATAAACAATGGCTTCTCGCCTGCACTCATCAGAATTAGTCACTCCTTTTTGCACGGACGAAAATTCTGCGTCTCCATAGGCAAGGCCTGCTCCGAATTTAAAGAATTAAGGCTTGTGTGAATCAAACTTAGAATCTTAAGTACAAAACCCCCAATTAAAAATAAAGCAAATTAACACAGAGATTAAGTAAAATAAACGTTGTGTAGCATAATTTGGAATATAAACAGATTAATTTTTGAAAAGGCATAAAATAATTAATTAACTTAAATTCGTTACACAACGCAGCCTTAGTAGTTTCATTAGCCTTAGTAGCCTTAGTTGTCTGGCTGCGTAAATGCTTCCTTAGTTATACTGTAAGGTTTATCCTAAGTTTCTAACATTTAATTTTAGTTAAAGCTACTTTCCTGACCTTCCTAATTTCAGCTTGCAATTTCCTATCATAATGTGTTTTTAGTATCGCGTTTAATGCAAATGAGTAGTATTTAAGTCGAAGTTCCATTGACTTCGAAAGAGGTCCTCAGAGTTTCTGACTAGCGCGCTTTCGCCTTTTGCCTATGTCTCTAAGCTATTACTACGCTCTGTTGTATTTCAGGCTCTTGATAGCTTGCTAGCTTTTTCGATATTTAGCGGCCAACTGCTTAGAAATACAGTACACTCCCGATTATCCGCGGAACTGGGTGGCGCGGCCGCCGCGGATAACGAAAATCGCAGATAATCCGACAAAAGTTAAAAACGGGTATAGCAAAAGAGAAAACAGTCATTCCAACTTTGAAAAATCGTTTTATATACAATAAAATGTAAAATAAACAGCAGGGAAATGTTTAACTAACGCTTAATATTTTAGTATATCACTCAAAACTAACCTAAAATGCATTTTGTTAATGAAAATAGAAAAGTGTTTGTATACTTACGAGAGGCGTCAAGGATACACAGAAAAATTAATACATATGTACTGTTTTAATACTGTAATGTATTATGTAATTACAAAAGCATAACTGTAAAACTAACACCTTTTTGAAGAAATCAGTCATTTGTGTTTGCTTCTTGCTTTGGAAGCATTTTCTCTTGATTCGAGATTGCATTTTTCGTAGCATAAGTTTCTCGGCCAACTCTGTGTCGTCTTGTTCTTCCAAATAGCTCAGTAATCCGTCGACTTGTTGCAAAGCCACTTCATGAGTCTTCTGCATCTGCACAGTGGGCTCTTCTTCGCCTTCACTTCGCTTTCCTTCATTCTCGGTGTCTCCCCCCCTTGCTTTCTTCACAGTTTCGTCATCTGTCAAGCGTTCGAAGCCAGGTTCGTTGACGTCACACTCCAACCACTCGTTAATGTTTTCAGCATCGAGGTTCTCACCACCCGGAACTGTTTTCACCATATCGGCAAGAGTTGCTGTGGGCGTGTCTACATCTTCATTTTCTTCTTCACAACTCAAAGGGGTTAGGTTGTTGTTGGCTTCAACATTAGGCATGAGTTTTCTCCATAATGTTTATGAGGGTTGACGGTTTCACTGAGTCCCATGCAGATGCAATATCGTAGATGCTGTCCAAGATTGTGTAGTGTTTCCAAAACTCTTTCAGATTATAACCTTCTTCAATTTTGGTCATTAGCAGCTTGGTTCGGTATGTTCTCTTCATTGTTGCAATGACTCCTTGGTTCCATGGGTTGGATTAGCGCAGTAATGTTTGGGGGGGGAGAAACTTTGCAAAAATTTGTCCATCAGAAGACTTTAGCACGCTTGTTGCTGACTGAGAAGGTGTGTTGTCGATCAATAGCACAGCTTTTTCAGACAGCGCTTTCGATTTAAGATGTTTACACACTTGAAGAACAAAGATTTTTTCGAACCATTCTTGAAAAATGTTTCGGTTCATCCATCCTTTTTTTTTTTTTTTTTTTTTTGTTAAAGTAATCAACGGGCAAATTTTCTATCCTTGTGCCTTTGAAAGATCTCGGGTTTTTTTTTTACTTTCCAATGACAACAAGTCTAAGTTTATGTCCACCGGTAGCCTTACTGCAAGACATGATAGTGATCCTTTCCTTGCTGCTTTTATGACCCGCCGCTTTACTTTCACTTTCAAATGCTAAAGTGCGAGTGGGAAGACATTTCCGCAAAAGTCCCGATTCGTCGGCATTGTAAATTTGTTCAAAAGATAGCTCTTCCCTTAAAACAAATTCTTCAAATTCATGGTGGAAATCGTCCGCTGCTTGTTGCTCACCACTAAATTTTCCCCAATGAAGTCCAGTTTCTCGAATACCATGTCGCTGCTGAAAACGAGTCAACCAGCCAGAAGACGCATCAAAATTTCCTTTCAGGCCTAACAACTCAAAAAAGGTTTTTTCCTTGGCCTCAATGATAGGAGTATTCTAACGAGAAACACTTACCTTACGTATTATAATCTGCGTAGGTCAGAATAAGAAGCAAGTAATAAAGTTAAATTTCTATTTACATCCACATCTTAATTAGCAGAAATCATATGGTCAGTGCCATTAACAGCTGTAAAGGTAATAATAATGATCAATGGGAAATATTATTGGTAATTTTCACAAAATAGTAATAACTACCATGTGAATAAAAAATAAAAGAACATATAAAATTAGTTAATCGTTCTACATCAAAGTTAATCGTTATACATCAAAACATTTGCAACATAAATTTGTTTCATTTATAATTATGTGCTTGACTTAAAATGAAATCCTTTAGTGTCAATATTCATTAACGAAAAAAAGTTAGTTCGGGAAAAAGGCAGTCTTCAGAACTTCCACCGGTATCTTTTCACATGTTACAATGTTTATTTTGCAAACATAGTGTTTAAAAAAAATATTAGATCTTCAACTTATCCCTAACGCTGCAGACAAAAAGTGTAGATTGTTGAAGTCAAGTTAAAAAAATACAAAATCTGGAGCTTTGTTAAATGGGTTTCTTTGGCTTCCATTAATTGAAATCGGTATATAAACAATGATGAAATTATTGATAAATTTAACAAAAATAACCATCAGTGACCAAGTACAGTTTACTGATGAACTTTAGTTTTTAGATTCGGATTCGAATTCTATAAAGTAGGTAGGCTCTAACGTTTATTCGTGGTATTGCTTATGTGTAACATGGCAACGAACTAGTTTTCTGTATAAGTTCTTCAGAAAAGCATTCAGCCCTTGGCATGTAGATCAGGACTGTTTTGCCGTAAATGAATTTAAAAAATGTGTTAATACATTCAAGAATTTTCATTCATTTTCGGAGAGGAAAGGATTCCGTAACTAAAAAATCAAAAATTGAATAGTGAAAATAATAAGCACTTAACTTGGCATAACATAGTTTTAAAGATTTCATTCAACGTATTATTGTCGAATAATTTTTATTCTTTTTGTCTGTTGCACTAATTTAACACAAACGTTGCCAAAATACTCTACCTCACGATCCATCACTGAATCACAAAATAATTTTGTATGAATCACGACAATTTCTGAATATTTTTTTCTTGGTATACAATTATATATATTCATCTATAACTGCCAATTACCATTACTTCTGTAACCATTGTTACATCTGTAACCATTGATAATATTTTATATCATTAATACTTTTATTATTAATATCATTAATACTTTTTCGTTCCAGTGGAAGGCTGTAACCATTTATAGGCATTAGCCACTACTAAGAACGGAAGCGGTGGCTTCTTATGGAGGCACTGGGATCTTTTACCTTTGCCTTCTCGAGTAAATTACATCCTTGGCCTTCTCGGGGATTCGAACTCTGTCCGTTCGACAAAGAACGTCTATGCCATCGGTACGGCAGTCAAAATAACTACACACTTTCCCGCCTGGGCGACTCATTAACAAAACTAAGTAGTTATATTTTAATATATGTATTTCTCATTATTTTAGTCTGAAATAATTTAAAAAGGTCATATTTAGAATTTCCGATACACAGTATCAACGATGGAGATAATTTTTTTTTTTTTTTTTTTTTTTTTTTTTTTTTTTTTTTTTTCTTACAGTGTTACCATTGCTGGTTTTGAAGTAGCTGAGTTTGTCAATCAAAAATTCGTTAAAGTTTTACAAAATATGAAATAGACAACAAAACAAATTCAAAATTCAAAATTTGAGCTTCCACGTGCCCAATTTCGAGTGGACTACATTATTCAAAATTTGATATCTCTAGGTACCATTGCTTTGCACAGTGAGAGAAACAGGCATATATTCATACAAATTCTTCATTATTTAATTTCTTTAAATATAATGATGAGCTCTAATATTTGGTGGCAAAATTTTGAAAAATGAAAGGCCGTTTATAGTGAATCAACGCAAAATGCCAAAACGAAATTAATAAGCCTTCTAAGCAAATTGCCCCTTTGGGCTAATAAATGTATATATTTATTGTACTTAAATTATTAATTAATTAATTTGTACTTATTTGTTATTTCGTTACGACCTGGATAGATCATTATTTTTCAGTAGCTATTTACTCTTATTTCTTCTTCTCTTTTTCTTCATAGAAATATTTATACACTGTGATTCAAGATTAATTTCCTTGAGTTACAATTTATTGCAAATGCATTCCAGAATCACAACAATTATTATTAATGTGTCCCAGTGGAATTATAAATGTATTCCTGGGTCATAATTAATTATTGTGGATTTATTCTTTGAGTCTAAATTAATTGAAAATGCATTGCTAAGTAGCAATTAATTTCAAATGTTCGTTTGTGATTCATACTCTAAAATATTTGAGAAACACATTCAAAAATTCGTTGTTTCATAATTTAATAAGTAATCGAACTAAAGAAATTAAACATTAAATTTAATTTTACTATTTGAACATTATAATTACAACATAAATTGTCAGTAAATATTCCCTAAGTGTTTTAATTTTTTACAATATTTATATTACAGATTTTTACATAATTAGTCCAAAGGGGCTTTGTGCTGAGGGACTATTGTTTATTTTTGCGATATTGCGTCGTATCACTCTGAATGTCTGTTTCATTTTTCAAACTCTTGCCACCAAATATTATCGCCCTGTATTAGATTTGAAGAAATTAAATAATGAAGAATCTGCATAAATGTATATATGTTTCTCGCATTGTGATAAAACAGCGGTACCTAGAGCCATCCAATTTTGAATGGCTTAATCTTACTGCGAATATGGGCATCTGGGAGTCCAAATTTGAAATTTGCAAATTGTTTTATTATCGATTTCATATTTTGTAAAACTTTGAAGAATTTTTGATTAGGTAACTCAATGATTTCAAAGTGAGCAATGGCAACACTGTACGAAAAAAAAAAAAAAAAAAAAAAAAAACATTTTTATCTCCAGCGTGCGAAACTGTGTATCAGAAGTTCGAAAGATATGCTCTTTTTAAATATTTTGTGATATTGCTGTTGAATTGAACTGAATTTCATGGTTTTAGATATGATAAATAATAAATAAAGGTAACACACAGAAAGTTAGAAAAACGCCCCTTTGGACATAATTTAAAATCTGAAACCTTTCAGATTTTCTTTTTTTATTTATAGTTATGTATCATCGAACTAGAGTTTTGTTATCTTGGCTGCCCCCCCCCCGAGGTATTGACCAGGTTTTCGATGGAACAACAACAAACAATGCTTCAACCCTGTGAATTCTACTTCCAGTATAATGTTTCTCTACGAAATTTTACAGTTTTTCAAGCTATATTTTCTTATTTTAAGTTTTCATTTCCGCTCCGTATTTTTTGCTTAACGTTTTATTTATAATTAAATCTCTTGGTTTTAGTAGCGACGAATATTGCTATATTTAATAATAAAGAATCCTTTTAATGCAAAAATTGCCAGATTTGTTTTGTTATCGCTACTTTGGCGACTTTTTGATTTCCCGAATTCCAACATCCATAGTGTTTATCGTAGTAGCATTATATAACGTTTTGGGGATTAAAATAATTCTTCCTGGTATGCCCTCCTATAATTCTTCCTATATGAGTACATAAATGCCCTTTTAAAATAGCATGTGTCGAATATATATTTCTATTCCATGCTGTTTAATTGAATTCATTTATTCTATGAATGTGTTATTTTTATTACAGATAAGTTTCATGTATTCTATGAATATGTTAGTTTTATTACATATGAGTTTCATTTATTCTGTTAATGTGTTAGTTTTATTCGTCCTAAATGAATACATAAATGTTTTCTTAATGTAATAATTAATAACATCCTATGTTTCATTTATTCTATGAATGTGTTAATTTTTATTTCAGGTTAAGTTATTTTTAAAATTTATTGTTACCTGTACTGTTGTTTGGGAGTCATTCTTCTAATTTTTGAGTGATAGTTGAACAATTTTAGTTTTATTTACTTGTTTATTTATTTTTCTTGCAGTTATCAACAATCTGTTTTCGGAACTCAATATTGGAATTTTTGGTGTTATTTAATTATTTTATTACTTTCTGCTAACCTCTGAAAACAAGAAACATTTTCTTTCCCTGATTGTCTGTCCTGAACTTTGTCCTTAAAACGTGAGGGCCCATAATCTGGATGATTAGGATCATTAGATGGTTTACCTAAAAAAATATATATAGTATTAGAAAGAGAATAAAAAAATACCATTAGCTTCGATTTTGATATTTACTGTATTAATACTTTCCTATGCACTCTCTTAAAATATTGCAATTTTCATAAACAATACTATGTGAAAACTAAGAATAAAAATTACAGTTAAAATATATGAAGCAAATGCTGAGTAAATTTCAATCAGTGTACTGAAAATCATTTGAATTCCAAAAATAAACCAGTATTACACGGGCAAAAAGCATTGTCAAATAATATTTTCTCTAAAAATGGTCACATGAATGTAAAGCTTTTAAAGATTTTAATATATTTAAAAATTCCTAGATGCTTAAAATCTGTAAAAAAAATTCTTTCTAAAGATCATAAAACAATACGTGACTTCTTAAAACATAATGAATCATTAGTTTCCCGGTCATAACATAACCTCAACAGGCGGAAATCGTCGCCAAAGTATCGCCAAAAACCGCTGATGCATTCTTCATAACTTTTGTCAAAGATAGTGATGAGTCGGTACATCCAAGAACCCGTTACTTCAGTACCGAAATCGGTACTTTTCGGTATTCGTTACTTCTGTACCGAAACGGGTACTTTTCGGTATTCGTTACTTCTGTACCGAAACGGGTACTTTTCGGTATTCCTTACTTCTGTACCGAAACGGGTATTTTTCGGTATTCGTTACTTCTGTACCGAAACGGGTACTTTTCGGTATTCGTTACTTCTGTACCGAAGCGGGTGCTTTTCGGTATTCGCTACTTTGTAACGAAAATATGCGTCTCTTCTGGGTATTTCGGTATTCGTTACTGGAGGATCGATGAGGGTTCAGCTCACTTCAGTTTTGGTACGAGGACAATAGTATCTGGTTGTATTTGCGAAATGGTGATATGCGCTCCTTGTGTCCATGAATGGCCTGCTCCTCAGACACTTACGTAGTTGACATGTTTTCTGATATTCAAAATCTTACTCCGTACAGATAAAATCAAACACGTGGTGACGTGGCAGAGTTCCTTCAGTGCGCAAAATCGTTAGCTGCATATTTTGGTACTCCGAATCGTTACTAGGGCACTTCGGTACTCCAAATCGTTACTAGGGTACTTTGCTTCTCCAAATCGTTACTAGGGTACTCCGGTATAGCAAACCGTTACTAGTGTACTCCGGTACAGCAAACCGTTACTACGGTATTTCGTTACTTCGGTACTCCAAATCGTTACTTGGGTACTCGGTACTTGAAATCGGTTTTCGGTACTTTTCAAAGTAACGGTTACTTGAGTAACGGGTATTTTGTACCGGGTACAAGAAAGTACCGAAGTTGCCCATCACTAGTCAAAGATCTTTATGATATATGTTATATTAATATGATATAAAATGCTTATGAATATTAACTATACATAATAAAATGATATTATAGAGAGTAAAAGAATTATTTGCAGTCCAGTTTTCTCTACGAACGGCAGCTTCCCACAGGCGCCTACGTGATAGATTTCTAGGAAAATAGAACGTTTTTATTATAGATAATAAATTAGTTTTAGTTTTCATGCTACAGCCCACAGCCACTCAACATTGATTCGATTTCCTTTTATGCATACTTCTGTATTTATCAGAATAAAACAAAAAAATTAAACACTTCTAAAATAAATTTGCAACAGCAACGTAAACAAATACAGCAATAACGGAAACGAAATCTTCTGGGGTTGTTCACTATGTGAGCGCCCTCTTCGTTGAGCAGCTTTACAGAAAACTTCGTATCCTAAAAAATCGTATCCCCTGCTAGCAGAAAAAAACTCCTCACCGTCACCATCTTGAATATATTCTTGAATATACTATTAAATCTACTACTAAAACTCAAAATGGTGGTTAGATAGTAGCTAAAATAATTTTTGAAACACTGATTGGTGTAAAAGTCGAAAAGATGGCAAGAGACTTAACTTTTTGTCTAATTGAATATCGTAATATTCAGAAAGCAACCGACTATTCGATTTCGACGGTATGCAGCCGAAGGTCTTTGTTTTTAACAACGAGAATTTTTAATTCCATTGTCAAAGACCAAACAATTTTCACTCCACTAGACCTCTTCTGTTTGATGAAGAAATTGACTAGGTTGACGAAGTTAAATATCTAGGAGTCATTCTCGATAAAAAATTGGCTTTTCAGGAACATCTCAGGGAAACTGTGATAAAAATCAATATCACGCTTGCAACTATGCGCCCACTTCGGCAGAAGAAGTCATATGTCCGTTTCTAATAAACTCCCCGTATATAAATCTATACTTCGACCAGCATTACTCTATGCTAGTCTTGTCTGGGACCACGCTGCCAAAACTCATCTTCCACACACCCAAGTTCTCCAAAACAAAGCACTCAGAGAGATCAACAACGCGTCATGTTTCATTCCAAATTCTTGTATCCACCGTGATCTCAAAGTAGATACAATTCAAGATTATATTCAAAAACTTGCCAGAAATTTCTTCTATTCAGTTCTCTGTCATCCTAACAACTGCATCAACTCTCTTAGATATTCTCCATTTCCCAGAGAAAAGCACAAATATCCATTCGACATTCTCCATCCTTAACATTTTTTACTTATACTAGATTCTTCAGTTCACTGATTTGGACCTTCAACCAGACCTTTTTCATTGACTGATGCAAGGATGACTGATGGCGGCCACTTCATATTCACTATATGTTCTTAGTAGTAACGTTTGACCGGTCACATTAAATACAGACTTGATCCTTCTTACTTGTTCCTTACTTCTTCTTAGTAATAATTCCATTGTCCTGACACCTAACTTCTGGTTTTGCAGTAGTTTCCTGCAATTTTTTTAACTGTGTGTAATAAGTGACTAAGCTTGTACACTATTCATGTTCATACATTGGAAATAAATTGCACTTAAATGAAAGAGCTGGAAATACAGTCTGCATGATGCATAAAATATGATCAAATCTATTTGTGCTTACTTTCAGGGATGTAGCTAGAGAGGGACAGTTTTATATATCACTAGCGGGCAAGCCCGCTACATGAGGGAAGGGATGCTTTCGTGGAGCGCCCGCTTTATTCACGTTAGGTCACTTGATTTACGTATGCATTCACAAGATATACGCTACCTCGCATGATTGCTAGCGGGTAAACCCGCCATTTGAGAGGGCTGAAGCCTGCTTTCGTTGGCCTTTATTCGAAAGTTGGACCGAACTGCCAGTGAAGCCCGCTTTTATTCAACGGGATTTGAAATTTGGAGCGAACTACGAGTGTTCAGCGATTTTTTCCCGGGCTGCGCCCGCTGTATTCACATATGCATCCACAATTTCTGGACAGTACGCCAGGATTCGAAAGTTGGACCGAACTACCAGTATTCAGCGATTTTACCTGGGCTGCGCCCGCTTTATTGACGTATGCATCCACAAGATACTGCCAACACGTTAGCGGAAAATCACGAAAACACCCATGCAGTCAGCCCGCTTGCCGGGATTCGAAAATGGACCGAACTACCAGATTTAGCGCTTTATTCACGTGTGCATACAGAAGATAGTGCATAAACGATACACATGTGTAAAATCAAGAAATCACCCATGGAGTCAGCCTGTTCGCCAGGATCGAAAATTGGACCGAACTACCAGTGTTCATCGGTTTTGCACGAATATGCATCCAGAAGACACTGCATACACGATACGCATGCGGATTTTTATATATCATTCTAAAAAATAACTTGATTTGCAACACTTGGTAGTTATAGGTATCAACACTGCATAGAATCGACACCAATTCTAGTTGCGAACATATAAGCAACACGATAAAATCAAATTTTTATAATGACATAATAATAGGTAAGAGAATTAATGCATATTTGCCCCAGAAATACAACTAAGATAGAATATGTTTGAGATAATAAATATGGTTGCATCTTTAAATAACTATGCAAAATCTTATTTCTTGCAACTAAAAGGCTGTGTATTCATGTATTATTCTTATTCTACTAAATGTTCTACACGTTCTTATTCTACTAAATAAAAGCTTGTTATAAATAAAACAGGAATACATAAACAATCTAATAAATTACTGAACTGATCCAAATCCACTGTCCTTGTTTTTATTTGCTAACCTGTATATCTGTATACACATGTCTGTGCACGCTGTTTAATTTACTCCAAAGTTATTTAGTTATATGCAATCATATTTTGAATAATGGCTGAGAAATGAAATTACCTAAAAGTCTCTCCCCTATCAATATTTATCACTGAACAAAATACTTGGGTGTTTTTTACATTACAGAACAACAAATTTTCTCTAAAAAGATATATGTGCTCGTTTGATACTTCAAGTGAGAAAAAATACTTTCATCATTAGCTAATTTTCACCATGGAGAAATTTTTCTAAACTACTTTAAAAATTTTTATTACTAATACTTACTTCAAAACGAACACTGCTATAAAAGATAAGAAAAAACATTTAACTGTGCTCAGCGAGTAACAATGGTATGTATATCATTCTATAAGAAATTGTTTGGTGCATGCTATTCTATAGTGGAAAAGATTTGATATCTGTAATACTTTTTATACTATTACTCATACTAGATCATCATAACTATTTTCTGAACTGGAATTTTTTTATACTAACTATCCTGAACCACTGTAAACAGTTCTAAATAGTTTAACAGGAAATGACTCACACACAGAAATTTCAACATTACTAGCATATGAAATTCAAAGTTCATCATTAACGTTAAAATCATTAACTTTTATTTTTATATGTGTCATTCTATAAATTTTCATTTAAATCATTGCTAACATAAACTAACACACAATTTAAATTTCTGCAGGTAAAATATGCATGAAAGCATAATTGTATATGTATGTGTATTAATAATATTTAAGAGATTAATGAGCTATAATGATTTATACTTCAATACACAAATATGCATGTTTACTTTCGAAGAACACACATACAGATTTATATGTATGATACACGAGAAAGAAATTTTGCATATATAAAGAAAACTTTTCTTACGAGAAAAAATGTAATCAGTTTTTTTTTTTTTTTTTTTTTTTTTTTTTTTTAATGCTTAGAACGCACGTTCATATAATGTCCAATTTTCTTTCCAATTCGAAATACGCGAATCCACCCTCTTCTTCGTTTTGCTATAGTGTATGAGAAGTTTTGCTATCTCGTTCGATATTTCCATCCAAGAATGCGATGGAAGCATAACTCAGGTTCCTTGCAAGCTCTTGATTTACACTGGTGTACACAAGAAAATGTGTGGTCTGTACTTCTTTCTAAGTTATACATATGCCCACAACAATAAAAAAAACACGTTTAATTACTTTTCGATCACAACATTCTTCACAAACTACGTAGCATTGTGAAATGTAAATACTGAGTTTTAATGTTTCCACCTTTTAGCCACTAGATGGCGTATCAGAGCGCTGGAATTGCGGATATCAATTATTGGAGTAACAAATTTAGTAAAAATTAAAATATGCTAGCATAATTTTAATAATCATGTTTTATGGCATTTTAAATTAAATTTTTAATTTGCCTTACTTTTTTTTTAATTAACCTTTTTATATGAGAATAAATCCCTCTGCTAATCACACGCCTTTATACGAATCTTCTCACTTTTCAAAGGTCGAAAGAAGAAACAGCCACTCTTGACGTTTACGGGATCTAAATATGATCGTAAACATAGTTCGTTCCGGCTAGCAACCTTATATTATTTAATGCTTTTAATTTATGTTTTGAATGAGCAATAAATTGTTATGTTTACCTTTAACACTCTTCGGCTGAGTCTGAGAATCTGTAGGAAAAATGTGTATCGGTAATATACAGATTGGTTATTTTTTTCTTATAATTAAGAGATAAATGATTCAAAATATATCTTCATAGTCTGATATGGTGGTATATTTTGATTATTAGTTACAAAAGCCTATTACTTTTCTCATTAGACGAGTGTGTTGCTTGTAAATTACTTTTTATAAAAGTTTAATTATTGCTGTATAATAATTTTAATAGATTTTTTTGATTAACATTAATTTAAAGTTTCAGTATTTCGTGAGGTTTTCTATCGAATTTTATCTGTTGTACACAACTTCAAATGTGTTACTACAGTAGATGTTATGTTTGAGATTCTGTACGATTGTGCTCTAAAATTATAAAATTTTAATTGGTTTCCTGCCCTTTATTAAGCATTAACCAAATTGTATTAAGATCATTTAAACTTAAGAGCTCACCAGCGGCCGAGCGGTAAAGACGCTGAACACTGGTAGTTCGGTCTGAGGTTCAAATCCCGCGAACGGCCTGGCTGCATGGGCATTTTCGTGGTTTTTCCCATGTGTAACGTGTATACGAGCCAGTTTCCCTTAGAAAGTCCTCCACGAATGCATCCCTCCCTTTAGGTAGATAGCCGTTGTGTGCTTTGCCATAATTAAATAATCCAATCCATTTAAACTTAAGTAAGTTAAGAGAGACAGCTTGGTTAGTCTCCTCTTAACTTACCTGTAATCCTCTCTTAATTATACCTAGTCTGGTGTAATGTCTCTGTTATATGTTTTCTATTATGTTATCAGCTATAATCAGATGCATTATATTTATTTAATATAAAAATCAGATGCATTCTATTCCCTTTAAAGATTTTATTTGAGGCTCTTTCTTTGTGATAATCGCAGATTAATTTGATGGTTTATATATGCATGTATAATTGTCAATATTGGTTTAAAAATTCCGTATTACAAATATTAAATTTTGTTTATTAATTTTACCCATTTCTTGTATTAAAGGAATTAAATCTTTTGTGAAATTAACCTCTGTTTACCCCTCTAATTGATCCTCTGTTTGGACCTCATAATCTGTCCTCTATTTACCCCACTTCCAGTAGCGTAGCTAGGGTGGGACAAGAGGGGACATCTGTCCCCGGGCGCAGCATCCAGGGGGCGCCAAATTGATGCTACGAAATTTTTTAATGAAATGTTTTGCATTCTTGGCACACAGAAAGGGGTGCAAATTCTTCAGTTGTCTCCAGGCTCTGGAATCCTAGCTACGCCACTGCCCACTTCATTAATCTTCTGTTCCACTATCTTAAAAATTGCATAGGATGGATAAATTTATTTATTTTTCAAAATGCTCTGTACTCATTTAAAAATAAAAATATTTATATAAAAAAAAAAAAAAACTAGAGGTTTAAGCATTATTAGATGAATTTAAAAAATTGACTAAAAATTTATAGAATTTGATATAATTTAAAGTATTTAGCTACTTCGAAATATATCAAATTTTACAAATAAAATGTTTATTTCAGTTTTATTAGTTTTCTGCCCTATTGCTACATTTACAGAATTTATTAGAATTCTGTAAGCAAAACTATTTTGCATAGACAACATGTACTTTTTTATTTTATTTGTCAGATATTCATCTACTGTTATTTGTTCTATGACGCTTTGTCATATTTCTGTACATACATTAGAATTTTAATTAATGTCTTAATTCTGCTGGTTATATATCTGTTAATGTATTAATTTTGCAAACAAGTAGTGATTTCCAGTTAGATCTTTATATTTAACAAATATATTAAAAATATCCATTTTATATCAATAACGGTGCATTTTAAAATTTCTTTACTAAATATAAATATAGTAGTATATATATATCAGTATAGTAGATTTCTGTGGTATCGTTCAATTTTTTTGCTTCAGCAGTAACTTAAAAATTTTTTATTATGTCATATTTTACAACATTGACAATAAAAATTAATATCTCTGTACTGTGCTTTGTAATGGTATCTTTGTCCAGGTAATATTTTACAATTTTTTTAGAATTTTTAATATGTGAAACATTTTTTTTCTGTAGAGGCAAGAGCAAGTATTATTCTCACTTGTAGGTTATGTAGTCAGTATTTAGATCTGAATTGCGAATATAGTGCCTTATTCTAAAAAAAAATTTTACATTCTATTTAATGTTAAAGTTTCAATGGAAATTCTGTATTAAAGAAATATAGGGTGTCCGAATCAAATGAACCTATTTTGAACAGTAGATTAAAAACAAAGTTTTAGCACTACAAGGGTGATATTGGCCACATCTGAGAGCTGAATTCGTAAACTTTGGTAGCAATATTTTTTCTTTTCCTCGCGTCTGACGCACTTGCACTTTACTGAGCCAACAAATGGGAAAATGGCATCACTGCAAGAGAAGGTACAAATTGTTCTCTGGTATGCAGAACACATATCCGTAGTAAAGGTGCAAATAATGTTTTAAACAGTTTATAAAAGAAATCCACCTCAGGTTTAGTGGCACAAAACGTTTCTCGAAATGGAAAGTGTGTGGAAAAGATCCGTAGGTGATCGCCGTTCACATTCAGATTCACATGTGGAAGATGTTGGACAAGCTTTCGTTTGGAGCCCTTGTCAATTGATCAGGCAGGCAGCTTCTGAATTATCTATGCTACATTCAACTATTCATGATGTGCTGCATTGAAAACTGAGGATGCATCCATATAAAATGCAGCTTGTGCAGAAACTGCAACCAGATGATAGGCCGCAGCATGCAGCATTTGCTGTGGAGATGTTATCTCACATCGAAAATAAACAACGCACCTTTTTTTCAGATTAAGCTGCATTCCATGTTAGCAACCACGTTAATAAGCACAATTGCAGAATTTGGGGCTCAGAAAATCCCCATTCACTACACGATTTGAAACGGAGTAGGCCAAAACTGTGGCAAACATGTTTGTGCATTTTTCGATACAACTTTCTCTAATAGATAGCTAGGATGCGCTGGCCCAATTGCCTGGCCACCAAGATCTTCCGACGTGACTCCGCTCGATTTCTTCTTTTGGGGCTATGTGAAAGACAGTCTACTCAGGGAACATCCGTGATATTGAAGACCTTCCTGCCTCCATAACTGCAGCTATTATTTATTGTGATTCTGGAAATGCTACACCGGACATGGCTGAAACTGGACTACCGGTTGGACATTCTCAGAGCTACTAATGGAGCTCACAATGAATTGTACTGATTGTTTAATAGAAACTTTGTGAGTATTGGTATCTAATTTTACAGTGTTTTTATGCTTTTAGTAGAGCTGCTTTTAGTTTTATGCTGTTAAGTAGAGCAACCTCTCCAAATTAGGTACATTTGATTCGGACACACCGTATACAGAGTGACTAAAATAGTCATATGATTTCACGGTACTTACCATAGTTTCAGATAGTTAAAATGCCCTACCATATATGCTGCACTTATCACAACTGAGTAAAAAAAGTTATAAAAGTTCATCGGATAATTTGCACCTCCATATACGCCACAGCAATGAAAATATGATTCCGCAATATGGCACTTAATATTCATTTATTCAGTAATTCCATTCTATATTGATGTAATCATCATTGATAACAGTTTATAACATATACAAAATAAAAATAAATTAAATTTATTAATACAAAATATTCAAAATCCTTCTTATCAACATCAGTATTAAATAAATTTAACAGATGACCATCAAGGTTACTTTTGTCACTATTCTAAATCACTTCTTTCAATGTTGCTATCATTTTCATCTTCTTTATCAATGATTTCTGATTTAATGAAAGCTGATATGATCGTATCAGCTCGAACTGATTGCCGTGCTTTATCGACCCACAAGGCAAAACCTTAAATTAGGCTTTTCTCATCCATCGGAAATTTGTGAAGGAATGATGTTCGTTTCGCATCCATTCCCCCCACTGCTTTCTTAATTTTTGCTTTAAAATTCTATTGATATTTATTTAGCAAATGTGTGGCCATTGACCACCAGGTTATTAGGCAAAGAGATCTTCAATACTTCTTTACGATACAGTCCTAACTCTTAAGTACAGAGCACATGTCCAGATAAGCAGTGTCCACATCTTGTCCAGAAGTCGTGGACGCTGTTGATATAACTGTAAAACTTTTGTAAATTTTAAAACTGTAAAATTTGTGCCCTCTTGATATCACTGAGACATCGATGCTAAGTTTTATTGCTTCGGATTATACTATATCCACTCAATAGGATCACATTGAATCCAGAACAATGAGTCCCCGAGAAAAGTGTCTTTACTTTTTCAATAGATTTCTCTGAGCTGAAACAACATTACTTCTTCACACATCCATTCTTTTCATTGACACAAATAATGACCTCTTTACGGACATTTTCTTTCTAACTATTTTTCTTTTAAAAATTATCAAAGGGACAAACTTTTCTTTATTGGTAGTGCAAGCCAAACACAAGTAAAAGAAATTTTTTCATCTTGATTGTTAACACAGAAAGTGTTTTTAACCTATTGGATGAAGAGTTCTACCGGAAGAACAATCAAAAGTAACAGGCACTTCTTTCATATGAATTATTTGTCCTCTATTCAATTTTTTTCTGTAATTTTCCTAGATGTGTTTCCAAGAAAACTATCTTTCTTTCCAAGGCAGTCCATGGGAAGCTTCTAACCAGCTTTTGTTTTGTCCTGATGGATGATTTCTTTTATTTCATGAAGCTGAAACACCAATTATGTCCTCCAACAAAGTTTTTAATGCCCATTTCTTGAGCGATTACTTTTGCTTGAAGTTGAATTCAACTGTTGACACTGATAATTCCTTTTCTTTCTGCTCTATTGTTCATTTCTCTAAATTATATCTCAAAACAGGTCAGGCTGTGATGCCAGTTCGATAAGTTACCTTTTATCCTTGCATTTTCTCTAATTTTTCTTGTTCAAATTTCCACCACTGAATGTATCTCTTGTCACCTTGAAATTCTGTAGCCACAGCTTAATTTCCAATTTCTATTGCTTTTTTCACTGCTAAAAGCTTAAAAGCAGCTGTA